GCTCCTCTTGGTCCCTTCTTTTCCAGCTCTCGTCCATCTGGAACATTCCCTCCGCCTGGCCTCCTTGTTCTCCTCATAAGCCTCAAGATGTTGTTGATGTTAAAAAAAATTTTAAGACTATGCAGGACTGTGGAAAAATCCTTATGACCCACTGTTAGTTTCCAAAAATGTAGTATACAAAATACAGTATATTTGCTTGGTAGTAACTTGGTAAATATTTTTTGTTGACACGGACGAGAACAAAAATGGAACGTACAAGAATGAAGTTATTGTCAGGTCGGATGGAATAGTGGGCAATACTTTTCCTTTACGAATTCCCCCTAAGTAGCTTTGTATATAAAAATCACTTGGCTGAGATGTTTCCAGGTTCTAGTTCAATGTTTAAAGTTCCGTTTCCAGGAACTTTAAAGGGAAGGGAGGAGGGGCAAGACAGGGGTAGGAAATTAAGAGGCACAAACGTAGTAATGCATAAAATAAATAAGCTACAAGGATATATTGTACAGCACAGGGAATACTGCCAGTATTTTATAACAAATTTAAATGGAGTACTGAATTACTCTGTTATACACCTGAAACTAATATAATATTGTAACTCAATACTTCAATTAAAAAAAAATGTTCCATTTCCAGTCTTGCCTGGCATGCTTTGTGCAGCATCAGACTCTGTATTGAGTCTTCACAAGACCACCCTGTTGCCCAGCCCCCGGTGGAAGCCCATACACCTCCTTTCACTTCCCTGCATCTCCCCTTTTGTCTGGACAATGGCTACGAGTTAGAACTCTTCCTTCTATAACTTTTCTCTATCTTCCCCACTTCTTACCACTTCTCTTCTGCTGACAGCTAGTTACATGAGACCTATTATGATGGGTTTTCTCTTATTCAATATCTCTGAATTGATTTCTTTCCTATGAAGTGGGCCTGTGTCAACTTGTTTGTTCTCTCAGAGGGTAGAATAAGCCCAGGGATCCTTCTTATAACAGACACATCTGTTGCCTGCACTAAAAACAAACAGCCAACTCAACAGTTACAGGCAAAGTACACTTTATAATCTTGGAGTTTAGTGTTCTTCTTAAACATCTCAAAAGAATTTTACAAATTCTCATTGGAATTAAGTACCACTTCACTTTATCATCAAGTTTCTATGATAAAAATGGAATGACTGAGGTATTGGAGGGATTTTCCCTTCCCATGCCCCCCAGAGGAAACCGAATTTGAAGAGCAAGCCCAAGTTTGTAAGTTTTCATTTTCTGATCTTTGAACATCCTTTAAGGACTCTCTCTGTATCTTGTCATCATTTCTAACCGCCACAAAACCCTGTCGAGATGAGAAAACAGATATGTAATAGCAAAGAGAAGTTTTGCATATCTGTGTTAAAAAACTAGGATGCAGACAGAAGTAACCTAGTTATAATTTATTCCACTGCAAAGTGAGCCCCAAACTCTTATTTCAAGGATAAGAGACCAGGGGAGACCAATGCAAACTGAAATGCAAGCATCTGGGGGTTGTTTGCTAGGTTTTTTTTTGAAAGGAACTGAAAGGAGGGATAAGCTCATACATTCCTGCAATTGCACGGAACTAGAGCATCCAAGCAAGGGGAAATTGCCAGCTTATTCCAATAGTACGTGGCATCTCTGAGCTCAGGAATACCTCCCAGCCCCAAGAGTCTAGTGATTGGGCATTTCCTGTGGCAGAGTGGTTCTGAGTCTACTGATTTAGAAAGCATCATTGCTTCAGTAGGGAGTTTGGTTTGTTATGACAAAAACTACATTCTTTGAGAGGCCAATGTGTAGAATTGCGGGGGACAGTGTTACTTGGAAATCACTCATTCTTTTCTTAGGGTTCAGGGAATTTGGTGTGATTGCTCAAACCAGGGAGGCTGGTGGGGTTGCCCAAACTAGGAACTATGGGGTGAAACAGTCCCCCTTCAGCCAATCAAGACCTTTCTACAGCAGAGAACTACATTTACATAGTGCTTATTATGAGCCACTGCGCTAAGCTCTTCACATGCCTAGCTCATTACATTTATTCCTCCCCTCTCCTCTTTGCAGTATACTTACTCTATGGCTTTCATCTCTTTACAAAGTAGGAAACTGAGACTCAGAGAGGTTAGGTGACTTGCTCAAGGTCACACAGGAAGTGAGTGGTGGAGCTGAGTTGCGAAGTCCAGTTTCATATGATGCCAAAGCTCTTTCCCCTCTACTATTTGGCCTCCCTAACCATTGGTGGAAGTTTTCAGAATCGATATGAAGACTATTTGCTTTAGGTTGGCACCTGTGAGCTTGCTGCAATGTGGTCTGTGACCGCACTACGGTTTAAAACACAGGGTTGAGAGAGGACAGTGCTTCAGACTGAGAACAAGGAGAACAGGATCTGGACCAAACCTCTGAGGTTAGAGGAGAGTAGATCCAACCAGCAGGTGTGAAAGGATAGATGGATATGAGAAACCTTAAGCTATTATAGTCTAATGATATCTCCTAAGCAGTCTTGGTGTCAGCTAACCATGGTTTTCAGAATAATTTACCTGGAAAGAGATAACACATAATGGCACCCAGGTTTATTTTCACTTAAAATGCTAACTTTCCCCGTGCATAGGATTTTGATTTATTGTCATTTTTAATCAATCATGAAGAGGGCTTTATAAAAGTCCCGGTGACAAGCCATCATTCCCTACTCGACAGAAAAAGCAGTTGGAGTCCGTGGACAAGTAATTAGACCAGAGTCACAAGTTACCATGGAAACTGGTAGCAGGGGCTGGGTAAGAACTTACGGTCCCTGGTTGGAATCCAGATTTCATTTTCTTGAGTTAGTAAACCAAGACTGAGATCAAGACATCTTTCTTTTGTTTCAAGCCCTCTCTCAGGAGCATCTTGTGTATGTCAAGTGCTTTTGTTTTCCAAAGTACTTTCCCATATACGGTCTCATCCTACACTCACAACCCTGGGTGGGGTTAGACATCTTATTTCAACGTACAGATCAGAAAACTGATGCATACACTGGGCCAGAGACTTGCTAAGGGCCCAGAGCTGGTTCCTGGCAGAGCCACAAGTCTGGCCTTCTTTCCTGTGGGTCACATTGCCCTCCACCTGATCCTGTCTGAAATTGAGCACGGTAGCTAGGGTTCACACAGAGGTTATGACTCTGAGCCACAGCTGCAGAAGTGAAGAAGCAGATGTGAAGAAAGAGACAAAAGTGACTGTATTTTTTCAAAGACCTAGACTTTCACACAGGGATCAAGGGGTCCATGCACGTCTTGGCCTAGGGGTTCCCTCAGTCACCGCCCAGGCATAGGAAACCCCTTGGTCTTTTCCTTCCTTCTTCCTTCCCTCTCCCCCACCTTCCCTCCATACGCCACCCTCCACCCCACACCAGTCAAAGCAGAGCTCATTAATATAACAAAGAACTCCGTGGTTGGGCTCATATTCTCCTTTGCTGGAGAACATATCAAATCAAAGCTCTGTGGTGTCAGGTTCTTCGTATCCCATTTGGGCAGATGCTCTGCGCAGTGAGCGGAGTGCAGGGGCCCTCAGCACCCCCTCCCCGTGGCGCTCTGGGAGAAGGACACAGCCATGTCCCACGTGGAGCATTATGTGATTGCCAGAAGTGGTACACTGTGCCCCGGATCAACAAAAACAATCACAGCATCTGGAAAACTGGAGAATCCACATCTCAGAGGGCTCCGGAAACACAACGTCCCCGTTTGAGGCATTTGTTAGGGTGGCCATGGAAAGAGCTTGCCTGGGTCTTGGAGACAGAGAATTATCCAGTTGACAATTCAGTCTCTGCTACTCAAGCCTCGTGAACCTGTGCAAGGAAGGTATTTCTCTTTTCCAAGCCTCAGGTGCCTCATCCGTAAAGTGGCAAATGTAACACTCATCCCCACAGGTTGTTGTAAGAATAAAGTGCCAAGTTCAGTGTCTGGCAAATAGCAGGCACTCAATACATGTTAGTTCTCTTCCCGCCAGCCCTTTCCTTTGCCCCATCAAAAGCTGCATTCCCGGGCTTCCCTGGTGGTGCAGTGGTTGGGAGTCCGCCTGCCGATGCAGGGGACACGGGTTCGTGCCCCGGTCCGGGAGGATCCCACATGCCGTGGAGCGGCTGGGCCCGTGAGCCATGGCCGCTGAGCCTGCGCGTCCGGAGCCTGCGCTCCGCAACGGGAGAGGCCACAGCAGTGAGAGGCCCGCGTACCGCA